TTCTGGGCAGCCTCTTGAATTATCTTATCTACAAACTGCAAAGATTTAATATGAAGTTAATTTTTTGCGTTATTTTCCCCGCATTTCTTCATCCAGTGGTAAAAAGCATACTTTCCTATGAAATCCCTTTTTTCAAGGTGTTGCCACTGATTGTTTTGTTGCTCATCATTTACCTTCAAGGTAAAGTTATAGTCCATGAGTAGAAATGATATTAAATAATACTGTCATTTTAAAAAAAGCCCAACCTCCCATGAAAATAATAAAATAAACACTGCAAAGTCACAGAATAAAAGAGCAACAATCTTTCAAGCAAGAGAGTACAACCAAAATTTATTTTGCTAAAAAAAGTTAGTAGAAGTCCAGGTCAGGAAACAAAGACACTTCCTTGTAAAAAGTCATTGAAAGGCAAAGGATCATTTTTGAAAAAGTTCTGTCTCTGATCACCACACATTTCAAAAGTTAGACCCACCAGGAGAAAATTCTCAGATAGCTATTTCTATAGATGGAGACATTTTGCAAATAAAATTAACAGGTGCTTTGACTGTTACTTCATATGATCTTAGTAATTGTGCTGCTATGACCTGAAACCGGTCAACCTACCATACTTAATGAATCTTAAAAACAATTATATAATATCTCCTATTTTTGTGTTCTTTTATATTTATTTCTCTTAGATAGTTGATCTATCTAATTCATTTAGTTTTGAGGCTTACAGCCTATCTCCACCATGATTTTGATATGAGATGCCTTCTGTTTTAAAGTTTCAAAGGGAGCATGTGCTGTCCATGTACTAGTTTCTGTAGAAGAGTATGTGATAAGCGTGTGCATAGAGGCATTTTTTCACCATTAATCAATGCTGAATTGAATTTGATTTAGCTCATGGAGCACCCCACAAATACTGCACTAAAAACATTTTTCTAAGTATCATTTGAGATTGCATTTATACAGTTCAGTCTGTACTGTTCTGAAGAAGAATAAATGTTCCATCTAAAGTGTGCTAGAATAAAAATTATGGTGTGAATGTGGAAATGTGTTGTTATGGCTGCTGCTTTTTGAAAACCAGACTGATCTATTCTAATGACCACCTTCTCTTCTTTTTCCACCTCTGTCATTCAGCCAGGCATAAAAGGTGACTGCAAAAGCATGAGAATCTTTTTCTACCAGGTTGTTGGATGATGATTGATAGTTCTTTGTGCAGTTACATGCATTCAGAACATGAGCATTTGTTCAGGTACAGCTTGAGCATTTACCAAGTGAACCTGTGGCTAAAAAAAAGATCTGAACTCAAACTTTTAAAGCCCAGTGCTATGTATTGGATCACAGAGACAATAGAGAGATACATCAAAAGGGTCTCTAATGACTCCTGATTTAAAAGTTATAGGATATGGATGCTGTTCCTGAACTATAGCAGACATATGCAGACTACTAAATACAGAAGAAAGCTCTTTTTTTTTAAAGACAAGCAATGACTGACTATGCTGCTACGTATCATTTTTTTCTGACATCCCCCCCCCCACACCAGGCTTGCTTTGCAGAAACTCTGGAACCTTGCCCAGGGTTTTTCTTGCAATGGGGGCAAGATAACGTCTGACTGCCATTTCTGACCTTACCATTGAAAATCCCATTTCCTCACCCATAAATCATTGCTCAAGGGGGAAGAGGTGGGGCAGGTAGCCCTGGGGAATAAAACTGGAGGAAAAGGAAGATGTGAGTGGACAGAAAGGTTAAATAATTCAACTGTTTATTCTTCTCATCTTTCTGGCGTGTAGGTTTGCATGTCTGAGAATATGAATGCTTTTGCTTTTGTAAGAAACCTCTTACATTAGCCTTTGTAGCCTCTTCCCTTTCCTTACCTCCACCTCTTTCCTCCACAAAAATATCACTGCTTGAGCTTCTCTGCGCCTCCTTCCCAGCCCCACCAGAGTCACAGATTATGCATTGTTCAGGGTTAGAAATGTGACAGCCTGGGTACGTCTTAGCTTCCTGAGCTCATTAGTAAAGAGCAACATGCTCTCTGGAAGAAGTGTCAGGAGTCCCCTTAGCAAGCACTGCATTGAATTTGGAAGCTGAGCCAGTGTAATGTTGCTTCAGTTGGTGTGCCTGCAGCTCTCAACAGTGGCAGAAGAGTTGATTCTTTGTTTGGAAGGAAAAAAGGGGGTGAGATATGGAAGCATTCAGACCTAGCCCTTCCGTCACCAAAACATTCAGTGATTTTATGCTGTGAGCACCTCTGCTATAATCATGTGGGAATGAATGACCAGAATGCTGTTCAGGAAGGAATTGGTGCATTGTACAATTTTCCCCAGCTGCCACCAGAAGAGCATCCTCACATAAACATTCCCAAGTATGTTGTTCTGAACAACCTTTCTCTGCCTATGCCTAACATAAGGTTTTATTAATTCACAATACCCTGAGTTTCGCCCTCCATCTGTCATCTCACCTGCCACCAGACTGCTGTCCCTTCAGTGCAGTTAGCAAAACAGAAATAATAAGAAATCATTTCAGTGGTTCAGTGTCAGATTGGAGGGAGAGGGTGGAAATTATCCCCAAAGCTGCTGGCAAGCACATTTTTTGTGTAAAGAGGCCTTAAACCACCGGAGAATTCCTGGATTGTCTCAGGCTGCTGTGTGTGATGTCCATCATGCTGTATGAACACCATCTGTTCGGTATTATACTCTCAGTTGCCAGGCTACCTGCTCTGTGCTGTAACACTTGACTGGCTGGCTGAATGTTAGCAGCATTATCCCAGAAGTACTAAGGGGGAGGAGGAGGGGGAGGGAACAGTAGTCATGATTAAGCCATCTGCAAGCACAGGGGAGGGTGGAAATGGGGGAAAAAAGGCAGAGCGCCCAGGGCAGCAATCAGTCACCAATAGGCTGACACAAGCCATCAAGAATTGGACCCGTGATGCCACCTGCTGGTGCAACAGAGAAACATTAGCCAAGTGGATGTTCTCACACTCCTCTTAATCCAGAGCTACCTGCAGTTTTGATAGATGGGTGGATTTAGAAGAAAAATGTACACTGCATCCTTTGTAGCACATAACCACTACTGGGTGCTTAAGAAGCTTTTAACAATACTCAGAGCCTTATGAGGTGCAATAGATGCCTCTCAAGTTCCACTTGAACCTTACAGGGCAAAAGAGAGGATGCCACGTTGAATGTGTTTTCTAAAAGGCACATCTCTTCCTCTGACTTTCTCTTTCTAGTCTAATTAAGTTCTAACTTCCTGTTATGCATCTTTGCTGTATGATAGTTGCTATTGGTCAAAGTGCTAATGAACTGTTTTGCCACAAAGATTTATTTCAGTCCCTCCTTAAGAGTTTTCTAGCCAAAGCCTGCAGGTATATCATGATATGTTGGTTTGAGATAGGCAGACAAGAGCACTCACAAGAATATTTTTCTAAACTCATAAGGATTACTTTCTTGAATCCTGCATTTCAGTCATAACAAGCTTGCATTATTTAAATCTCATTGGGAGTTTAAAAACAGTCCATTTTTAGTTAGTTTCTTCTAATCATTATGAAACACAGTAGAAAAAAAATATTTTTAAAGGTAAGTACCTAGTATGACAAGATTTTGCAGCTATACCTTTAATTGGAAAAGTATCATAATAATAACCTTTCCCTCAGTGAGTTTCCATGCTGAAGACCTTTTCATCAACCTCACCTTATCTAAAGATGATTATGATGAGACAACGGAGACTGATTATATAGATAGGAAGAAAAACCACGTGGTTCTGTTTTGCTATTGCATCAGCTCACTCATTCACAATGATTGCACAAATTAATATGAAACTTACTGGACTGACATCCAGAATTTACAAAAGAAGACTGAGCTTTGCTTGCAAGAGATTATCACTGTTTTTAATCTAGCCCCTGTGCCATTCCTCATCTATGTCTACCCTGCATTATTTATTTTTTATTTTATTTATTAAAGAAATGTATATGACCGCCCAGCTCAAGTCAAATAAATGTGAGAGGGAGACTAACTGAGAAAGTCATGGTTAATTTATTTACATTACATAAATCCAAGGCAGGAAAAACAAATCAAAATTTTGGTAGACTTCCAAATGCCTGTATCTGAATCCAAAAGCTGTTAATACCTAATTTCAGATTTACCTCTTAACCCTTTTTTCCTACCCTTTTCTAATTCTGGCCATGTTTTCAGATATTTGGCTTTTACTCTTTGCTTGTGCTAAACTCTTTATCTGTTATTGTGCTCATCACCACTGACAACTTGTTAAGACTGATTTTCCAGTGTTATTTATAAGTGAAGCTACCAAATTTTCTTTCCCTTTGGTAGACACTCATTGATGTAGTTAAAAAGAGAGAAATTCAGAATATAATGTGCTTTGCCTTGTAATGAATTATTCTATATTCTACCAATACAGAAAGTGGTTGAAAAATTTACCAAAAGAAAATTTGACTCACATTCTGTATTTTGCAAAACTGTTATCAGAGTGGTTAATGCAAATGTTCACAAATTTTTAAAATCCAAAACATTGCAGCAACCAATTTTGCTAAAGTTGTTTTTACAAAGCATGCAATTTTTTTTAATTACGGAAGTTTTACCACTTCCTAACACTTCCAGGTTTAATTCAAAACATTGCACTAAACCATACTGCCTGGTCTCTTCCCTAGTCAAATCATTTGGAAAGACTCTGTTTCATGAGATTACATCATCAGAGATTCTATTGGCATTTGTGGCCAATAATGATGTCCAGATTTTATAATTTCTTGGGGACTCACTCTTTTTTGATATCAAACATGGAACTTAATGCAATGGGATACTGACTAGGATTTAGGTAAATAGTAATTCCAAATCACAGGGAAAGCATTAGGTTGGTGACTGACCTCTGGCATTGTTCCTTCTGTTTTCTGTTCTCTTCCTTATTATTTTAATTTTTTGCAAAGGAAAATGTTTAATATAATGATTTCTTTAATGTACAGTATACCTGCATACTCTCTAACTTATAACTTTATGTATTTCATTGTTTAGGACCAGCACGCTGTGGGATTGTCTCGATCCACAGGTCCCATGCAGTCCGCTGTATCCTCAGGATCCAGTAATGTGGGCACAAATCCTGGCAATGCCAATTTCTTGGGCAACCAGCCTCAAGCAGCCATTATGAAGCAAATGCTGATTGAGCAGAGGGCCCAACTCCAAATGATGGAGCAGCAGAAGCAACACTTTCTTCTAAGAGAGCAACGGCAGCAGCACATCTTGGCGGAACAAGTACAATATATTGTTTTTCTACATATCTTAAACATTACTTCCCAACACTGACAGCATTAGGGCTCTGTAGCACTTTGAATTCTATCTCCAAAAGTTCCTTTGAGGCAGGCAGAATTAAAGTACAGGTAATCCTCGACTTACAACAGATTGTTTAGTGATCATTCAAAGTTACAACAGTACTGAAAAAAGTGACTTATGACCGTTTTTCACACTTATGACCGTTGCAGCATCCCCATGGTCACGTGATCAAAATTCATATGCTTGGCAACTGGCTCATACTTAGATGGTGGCAGTGTCCCGGGGTCATGTGATCATCTTTTGTGACCTGACAAGCAGAGTCAATGGGGAAGACATGTTACTAATTTAACAACTGCAGTGATTCACTTAACAACTGTGGCAAGAAGTTTGTAAAATGGGACAAAATTCACTTAACAAACATTTTGCAGGAAGTTGCTTGATATATTGTACACCAATTGGAACCACTTGTTCTGTAAGAAAAATTACGACCATTAATAAGCAAATATTCAGTACAGCAATTGAATATAGATACATTTTGAAATCTATCAAAGTTCTTTTCATGCAGCTTATAAAGTGTGCCTCTAAATGAAGTTACAAGTTCTTTTGGAGCCAAAGACAATAAGCATACCAGTAAATAAAGGAGTGTTGTGCTTAATTATTAGTTAAAATAAATAGATTGAAAAGTATGTGTCAGGCACAAAGGATCAGGACCATATATTGCAGCACATAACATTTATTCAAGTCTGCACAAAATTCTAGTCAACTAATGATCAGCACAAAATTGGCGCTAGATAGGGGTCAAAGGAATTAAAGGAAGTGTGGACTTGGATCATTTGTGACAACGTAAGGATTCTAAGCCAATGACATGTTTAACTCTGCCTCCCAGCTATGCCTGCTCTTCTCCTACAGCATAACATAAAAAGCATACCAATCAAGATAACAGTCAAATCTCTTATAAGCTGCCAGGAGCTGCTTAATAATGATAGCAGATATATCCCATGGGTGACCAGTGTGCAGCCAGCACACAAAATAGAATATTGGAGTAGAATCAGACCCCTTGATCTATGCAAAGCTATCTACTGCTCACTTCACTAGCCACTTCACATAAGCACTTATCTTTGGAGAGTCCTTTCTAGTAAAGGAACAGTATCAGTGCTCTACTATTGGCTGTCATAGCAACCCAATGGGCAACTTTCCCTTCTTAACCCCTTTTCTTTTGTTTTTCTAGCATTTACAGCAGCAGTCACATTTGCCTCGGCAGCACTTTCAGCAACAGCAGCGAAATCCTTATCCAGTCCAACCAGTCACTCAGTTTCCAGGTGAGAGCTAAACACTTGTTAGGTTCAGAAGCTGCTTATCTCTCTTTGATATTTACGTGCTTATTTCTCTCTATAATGATTATCTATGTAAAACAGCCACTACTTTGTTATTTTAAAACAGCATCTTCAGGAGGTACAATCTTATCTAACACAAGTAGGCAGTAGCTACTAAGACTTTGCAACAATCTAGATATAATGGAGGAAAAAGGTGATATGCACACATGAGTGTGCTCACATCACATCTATTTGTGATTTCTTTACTCCTTTCTAGGCTCACATGGCTATTATTATCCAGGAAAAGATATCTTTGAGTTAAGGAGTTGCTGACAGGTATAACAAGCATACCTGGTGTGTTTTGAACCCCCATTCCTCTTTGAATCCAGGTCACCATATAGCCCTAGATGCTACTTCTTTCCTTCTCTTCACTGTCAACAGGCACACCAAAAAATACTTTAAAAAATCTAAATTAGAAGATTGGTTACAAAACTTATTTGCCAAAAAAATACAAACAATTCTGATTAGTGGAGTGATCCTCTTAGATATTCTGCATTTTGCATTAGAAATTTAACCATCTTGTAGTGCCAGATGGCAGGAAGAGACAGAAACAAGCAAGCATATTCATTACATGTAGTCTGCTCTACCACAATCTGCAAGCTGTTAATGAGAGTGGAGACAGCCAGTTGGTGTAGCAGTTAAGGCATTGAGCTAGAAACTGGATGTCTGAGTTCTAGTCTTGCCTTAGGCATGAAACCAACTGGATGACCTTGGGCCAGTCCTTCTGTGTCTGTCCCAGGAAGAAGGCAATGGCAAACTACTTTGGAAAACCTTGCCAAAAAACTGCAAGGTCTAGTCCAGACAGTTTCCAAGTCAAAAGGATGGCAGATTTCAAATGTAAATCTATCCCATTCACATTCTAAGCAAAAAGTAGAGATGCAATTGAGAGAATTTCTGTGTTTATGGTGATGTAAACTTCCCCAATCCCAAAGATTGGATGATGTGCATCAGTATAAAGAACAAAATGTGATGTCAAACAGAAAGTGTAGAACAAACCTGAATAAACATAAAATAATTAAAATAACAAGATGGCTAAAAAGACTAAGATAGCTGCTCACCGATCAGATCAGATGAGGCTAAAGGTTCCCTGGAATAATGATTTCAATTGTTTACGAAATGCTAGGAATATATGGGAGAATATATAGTACTTCTGGATGAAGTGTATCGCAGACAATGGGGGAAATGGATACTTTGGATGCCAGACAAAACCTGATTAAAAAATATTTCCAAGGGAAATTTAATAGAAGAAAAGTTCTTCTCCCCCCCACCTTTAAAATATTTAAATATAGCAAATGTGCTTCAGTCAAGCAGAGTATGGACTCAGGATGGCTGGTTCTGAAGCTGTAAATACCCTGAAAAATGGCTAGTGTTTAAGAGCTTTGTAAGTCAGTTGTACAAACTCCAGCCTCACCCTCCATAACCCTGATTAGCAGAACACTGTCAGGGGATGTCAATGCAGAGTCAAAAAAATGGGGGACATGCTGACATTGCCTAATGTCTTCACACAAACACTGCAGTTTACTTACTTGCATTAGATGTCTGGACTGTAGTATGAAATGGCAATAGCCACATGATGATGTCATTGTGGAAGTATCACAGTTGTGGAAACCTCTGCTCCTATACGCAAGGCACTTGCTTTTGTCCTGCTTTCCATGTTTCCAGCTTTCTCCTTTAAATAATTCTTTGGAAGGAAGACTATATGGAAATAAAATTTATGGGTTATAGAATGCTATTAAAACAGTTGATTTTATGTACATTTACTATAATACACTTATTATTTTTCCCTAATCACAGCCCCCTGTAGCTCATGGAATATTTTTACAACCTCTAGTTTATTTACATTAATTCATTCCAAAAGAAACATCTAATCTAATGGCATACCCCCAAAATGCATAATTTGTTGGAGTCTTCTAGCCTTGTTTTACATCAGGGGCTCCACTGGACATCATTTTTATCAGTATGTATAATGATGCATATGGATAGGGCGAGAATATTCTGAGGAGGATGCCTGTACTTTTTGAAGATTATTCTCATTACATTATTTATCTGTATCCTTCAAAATGCTCGTGAAACTCTGCCACTGATTCGGGGCAATTTTTTTTATTAGAGAAAGTTGTGGAGATTTCAAAAAAGGGCTGTTGGAGCCATTGGAGCCTGGGTCCACAGCTGCCTGAGCCTACCTGCTCAGTGAGTAAGAGACACAGATGTGATTGGTTCCTTTTTAAATCAGATCTTGCCCAGTCTCTCTTTCTCTCTCTCAGCCCAACCAACCTCACAGAATTGTTGTGGAGGAAAATGGAAGGAGGGAGTACTATATATATGCTGAGTTTTTAAACAAATGACAGGATATTAACTCAGGAATACATGTTATACATGTATGGGCTGCATAGTCTTTTTACTGTAGAAAAAGTTGTAAAGGAAAAACTACCAAGGAATTTTTACTTTCTTCTATTATATTCAGCATCACACCGAACTCTTGGCAGAGTCAAAATTCTTATCACTATTTTTAAATAAGAGATGATAAACGTAAGGGCATATTTGTTTTCCAGAAAGCAATCATGCCTCCAAGATAATTCACTTTTCATCGTGAAGAGGCTAGAATTTAATAAGGAAAGGTTTTTCTGATTCCTCAACATTGGTTCAAGGTGGAGTAAAATGTGCTTACAGTATTGATTTGTTAATACACAATCTCTGTGTAAAATATCTAGAGGAGAAAGCATCTTTTCTCTTTTCTGTAGACATAACTAGAAACAACACTATATATCCATTCACATATGACGCCTAAGCAATAACAAATTGATTAACCTCTCAGCAACTGACACGGTTTTCATTTTAAAAGATAATGGGAATAGTTAAAGAGTTTCTTGGATAGTTAATGGTCAGATCATTGTTTACTTGTTCAATTCTTCATTTCCAAATAGATCTCTAATGAATGCTTGCATAATTATAGTCCCCTGTAATCATGACCTTCAGCATTTGGCTGGCCACTAAATAATGCAAAATCTGAATCACACTCAACCTCTGCTTCTTTGAAAACAGGAAAACATTTATCCTCAAACTTTAAACAAGATTGTAACATGATGATATAGAACAACAGCTGAGCAATACTTCAGATTTGAAGGTCAAATGGTGCTTCTGAGTATGCAAGGGTACAAGTATAGAATAACCTGCTGTGCGCTGTGCACTAAAGCCTTTTTTGCCTTCTAACCCAACAGCCCTAAATGTTTAGTTACTATAAAATCGCAACACATTATTCTATTCTCAGTCTGTAGCAACAATATATTTTTTAAGTATTTTTATTTATGAGAAAAGCAGAGAAGATCATTGTGATCACAAAAATGTTATGCAGAAGATGAACCCAGGATAGAATTTTAGCATTTTCTGGAATTTTCTATGGACAGAGCTTCCTAGCAAAACATTGTTGATAACCACCCAGAGTGGCCATATACATCTTCTAAATAGATCAAAAATTACGTTTAGAGACAATGTGTTCATGTTTAATCCTTAGCATTTCCAAGTAGGACTGGAAAAGACTCCACCTGAGAGACTGGAAAAAAGTTCCACCTCTTTAGCTTGGTTTTGTATGTATTAGATAAAGAAATTGTCTGCTATATAAAAGTCATATTGCTACGATCTAACATGGCTCTAAAAGTGACTTTATTGGTAGGATTTTCTAGAGACATGTAATCTTGCTTATAAGCTAAGCAAAATAATATTCCAACATCATAAAGTCAGAATTTTGCAAGTCAGAGCTTACAACACAGCTGAGGTATTCACATATGTAACAAATCTGAATATTAATATAAAAATGTCTAGATTATTTCTTGCATATATTTTGCAAAAATATTTTGCCAAGTTCTTCCAACTGCAAATTCTTTCAGTAAATTGAAGTTCACTCTAACCTTTTTCCTTCTGCTGCTTTAGGTTCTCCACAAGATATAGCTGCAGTGAGAAACCAGACTGCTCTTCAGAGCATGAGGACTTCCCGAATGATACCTCAGAATGCTAGCATGATGTCTTTGGCGGCATCTCAGAACACTGCAGCAATATCTGCAACAGGTAGCCAGTCTGAGATGGGAATGACTCCTTACAGCAGCCCAGTGACTGGACAGCCAGGAATGTACAGTATGAACTCAGGAATGAGCCAAATGTTGCAGCACCCAAACCAAAATAGTATAAATATAATACACAATCCAAGTCAGGGGCCAAGGCAGCCCGGTTCAACACAAGGAGTTGGCATAGTCAGCAGCTTTGGTCCAAATGTTTTAGTAAACTCTACTGTAGCTCAACAACATCAGCAAATGAAAGGACCTGTGGGACAAGTTATGACCAGATCACAAGCCCCCAGGCTTCAAAATATGATGGGGCCAGTCCCACAAGGAACACCGAATTGGCAGGTAAGAGGACTGCAAGGTATCCCTGGAAGGACTAGCAATGAAATTGGATCTTTCAATAATGGATCTGCTTATTCAATGCAATCAAGTCAGCCAAGGCTGCCTAAACAACATTTTCCTCAAGGTATTGGTCAATCTATTATGGATACAAATGGAGCAGTACGGACACTGAACTCAGGTGTAGGGAGACAGATGTTGCAACAACTCCCTGGACAACAAGGAACTAATAACCAATCCAGATCAATGGTTATGCCTACGATAAGTCAGGCAGTTTCTTCTCTAACTGGTTTTAATCAATCTCCTGCACAACAAATACCTGGAAGTAGCTTCAATCAGAGCAGCCAAGGTCAGATCTACGAGAGGAATCCCACTCAAGACATATCTTATAGCTATAGCAATGAAGGAACTGGAGGGTCCTTTCCAAATATAACTGAAAACACCAATCTTGTAGACTCCATCATTAAAAGTGGTCCAGGAGATGAATGGATACAAGAACTTGATGAACTGTTTGGAAATCCATAGCACATGGAGATGTTTAGTTCCAATATTTGTGGGGTCAAAAAAGGAAAGCAGGATGATGTCCATCCTTGTTTCTTTGTTTTGTTTTTAAAGCTGTGCAAGGCTAGCTGATCTGTGAAGGCATAGATGGAATTTGAAGCAATGACAAAAAGTCCTTGCCAACTTCCCACAGCAGTCTCCATGCCATAGCGTACCTGCTGCAGGTCAGAATGAGAGAGAGACTGAGAGAGAGAGAGAGAAAAAAAGAGAAAAGCTCAAAAAGTGCTGCTTTCTGCCCATGGGCCACAGAAAGTGTCAGGCAGTTTCCATGTGCCAAAGCACTGGCTGTCCTGTAACAATGCACTTTCTATGCAGTTCTGTTAGAGCTGTTGTAGTTTTCAGGATACAGAACAGGCAGCTTCTGAGATAAAGCTGGAGAGTCAAAACTAGGTGACTGTATAAGTGACAAACACAAAGATCTTAACTCTGAATTTAATAAATACCAAGCTTTTCCATGCAATGTGTGTAATCTGATAGAGAATTACATAAAGGTTGTTTCAATGTGGTGATGATGATATCAGGGTTGAATGAGTTCAGTCGGTGCCCTATCAATGCTTCTTAAGGTGCGTGATGGATTCTAGTAAAAGAGCTTGTCTTTTCTCTAGTGTCCATTTCCTGCATAATCAAATGATTCCTGACTCATTAAGTATGAGGAAAAACACAGCGCAGGACAAACAAGTTTGTATAATAATTGTATTACTCACTAGCTGCCTCCAAAGATAGTGATGCAATACAAAAGTAATTGGAAAAAGGGAGATAGGTCTAAGGAAATGAAAACGTTGATATTGATCCTGTATTCTGGAAATACAGGATCAAGTGAGGTTGGGCTATACAAACTGTTGGCTTGATCTTCCAAAGATGTCATGAGAATCAAGGAACAACTGCTCTAAAGATCACACAGAAATGGGCCAATAGCTGTATTGGCTGTCATATACAGTCCATTGAACACCTCTATCAAAGCATCCCTTGACAGCTTGAGAGTGAGTTTATGCTCTATGTTCTTCAAACACATGTCCTCTTTTCTACACCTCCTACTTTCTACAAGCGTTAAGCTCTTTAAAAAGATTAAACTGATCAATGAAAAACAAAATTTTAAAAAAATTAAAAATCCATTGATGTAATTTTTAGTAGCAGTTGTATATAAGTATTTGACATTGCAAATATTTTTCATAGATTTGTGCAATTTGAAGTACTAGAATTTAACTGCAATTATTTTAGGTCCTTAAGAGTCTAGATTGGCATTACTTGTAACATTGGAAATTGAATGTGTGACCACCTATCTGTATATTGAACATGGGGTTCATGTTAAATACATCCACATCCAGAGCATTCTCAGGGTCTGATTTATATGTTTCTCTTAAGTTTTCCATCTAGGCAAATTTGTTTTTAGAGATACATTTTTGGTAGAATAGCAGCAGACAGTGAGGGGACTTTGCCATTCATTCTTTGGTTCATGACATTCTCTGATCGTATCTCTTATACATTTCCAGATTAAGATTACCATGCATATTGGAAGAAATGTTTTGAAAAGCTCAAAAAGCATGTAGAAAAGCACAGAACACTTCATTTATCCATAATTTTCCTCCTCTAGAAACAGCTTTTCTTCAAAAATGAAGGAGGGGTTTTTAGTTATGTGTTTTACTTAAATACTATTTAGCTCATCAAACACTTCGTGTTGGGATATAAGATTTAAATAGCATAGATCTAAAATTCCTGTATGCAGGCGCATATCCTACTGCAATTACTGACAGACTTTTTGCTGATTCTTATGAGAGTTGATTTCTTGTCAGTACTAAAATATAAATTGACCAGTGCATTTGCACATTGGTACTGTAGATTAGACATTTGGCCAAAAAATTGTATGCTTATAACAGATAGATTTTATCATGCACTCAGTGCACAGTGTGCCAAATTGAGTTCTGATCATAGCACTAGTGGAGTGCATGTAAAGATCCAAAGAAGTTTTAATCCACACATTTATTCAATTTATTTAATAAAATTATACCACATTCAGATGAAAGAGAGAAAAGAAATGAAGCTTTTGTGCGGTGCAGCAGTCAGACGAAGCTGAAAAATGTGACCAGTTAAGTATGGAAAAATTAGGAAAGAAGTTAAGTGAATGTTTTTATCATCTCCCTCAATCTCCTGGAAAGATTGATAAGAGAGGACTTATGGTGCAATCCTATATATGTTTATTCAGAAATAGGTTCCATTTTCTTTGAGCTAAACCCGGTAAGGGGCTATAGGATTGCAACATTAAAACATGAGTTTCATCTACACAAATTCTAGTAAGTTCCATTTTATTAGAATAATAGAGAAATTAACTTTGTGTTTGATAATGCACTCATACAAAGTTTATTATATTTGTAAATTTTCCTCCAAATACTTTAAACTGGGACCAAGTAATAAAAAATACTGTTTAATATCGGTGGGGGTGGTGGCTCTTTTTAACTATGGTGCTGGTGTACATGAAATGGTTTTTTTAAAAAAAATATTTGTAAATATGTTTTTACAATCTGCGGATATCACTGGGTCTAGTCTGTAAAATAGAATAAATATTGTATTATATTATGCTATATATATATGTATATAAATATATATTCATGGACACACAAACATGCAAACACAGACATATATATGTAATATCTTTGTTTAAAATACATTTTTATGTATCTATACTGCAGTGATACTGCACTTCAGATGTCCTGTTATCAGTTTGTACTGTATCCTAGCCAGCAACTTGTTCCATTTTATTCAAACTTTTCCTAATTTACCTTTTTTCACTTTTCACATTGAACATTGCTTATTTCATTTTGATAATTGTACAGAACTCTTAAAATATAGAAATGAACTAATAACATACCAATTTTAAGGGAAAAAAATAAAAGATTGTTATCTGAATCAACTCAGTTCTGTAACACAGTTCTTTATTCTTGCATTAAATATGTGGCAGAACTGAGCCAACCTCTACTAATCCAGAGAAAAGCTAAGCAGGACTGGACCTGGATAGAACTCAGGTGGGCAGCCACCAAAAAATTCAGGGCTTTGTCTAAACTGGAGAATTAGAAAATCTGGAAAAAGCAATCATCACAAACTATTTTTTTTTTACATTACTAGAAAAACTGCACAAAAGTGTAGAAATAGTGAAATCATGCTCAAAATGAGAAAGTCTTTAACTAGTAAATCTTATGTACAGTATATCTGTACATCTACACAAATCTGTTAATACAGGTAGTCCTCGACTTACAACATTTCATTTAATGATGTTCGAAGTTAGAACAGCACTGAAAAAAAGTGACCATTATGACCATTTTTCACACTTACGAATGTTGCGGCATCCCCATGTCACGTGATCAAACTTCAGCCGCTTAGCTGCTGATTCATATTTATGATAGTTGCAGTGTCCTGGGGTCATGTGATCCCCTTTTGCAAGTTTCTGATAAGCAAAGTCAGAGGGGAAGCCAGATTCACTTAACAACTGTGTTACTAACTTGACAACTGCAGTGATTCACTTAACAACTGTGGCAAGAAAGGTTGTCAAACGGAAAAATTCACTTAACAAATGTTTCACTTAGCAACAGAAATTTTGGGCTCAATTGTGGACTTAGGTCAAGGAGTATCTGTATTGGGACAAAGACTGAGTTTCTTTGACCAATAAATTGCTCTCAGTTGTTGGTTGTTTCAAATCAAATAAGCATCCATGTGATTCTAGCCATCATATGAATGACTTCCATATGGTGTGTCATATGGTCACTGGCTCTTTGCTTTCAATTCTTCTGAAACTTTTGTACACAATGCACAGCATACCCTTTCTTTTGCTGAGCTCAGTACGGAAACTCACTAACTGCTACAAACCTTTATGAATCTAATTTTTTCTCCATCTGAATTTTCTACTTGGCATTATCCCTTCTTAAAATGCTTCTTGCATTTTGGTATTTTTCTTACCACCATAAGGTAAGCGTTAATAGCAGCTCTAAAAGACATATCTGGTCAGATTCATCTCTCGTTTTCCTCCAAAAGTGCTCTAGGCATCTCTTAGTCCAGTGGTTCTCAACGTTTTTAATGCCGCGACCCCAACCGGTCGTAAGTCAAGGACTAAACCAGTCGTACATCGAGGACTAAACCGGTTGTAAGTCGAGGACTACCCAACCGGTCGTAAGTCGAGGACTTTCCCTGCCTGGGAACGCGCTTGCGTGGTTCCGCCCCCTGCGCCGGCCAAGGCGTAGCTGGCAAGCGGCAGAGACGGAGCAGGCCGACCACCAGCTGGCCCAGCCCAAGGGAGGTAAGGCACCCGCCGGAAAAGGGGAAAAAATGGCGGACAAAAAAAATGGCGGACAGCCTTGCTTGGCGACCCCCATGAAATGGTCGATCGACCCCAAATGGGGTCCCGACCCACAGGTTGAGAACCACTGTCTTAGTCCTTTTAAAAACAATGGATCAAGAGAGACTGCATAGGAATGATCCTGTCCAAAGCCTCAGCTGTCCTTTGGTTCCAGGACATAACCAGAGCTTTGTTAGGATCATGCACCAAAGCCTCTGGATATCCCTCATTCTCTCTGGAACCCATTCAAGTCCATCAGTGATTGGGAATGGGCCACTTGAATGGGTTTGGCCTCCCTTGAAGGGGGGTGGCATAAGAATAACTCAGGGACACTTGACATGAGCTGACCATGACAGGAGGATTAACAATAGATCCCTGTCCCAGATCATGTTGTCATTGCTCCAAAAAGATCATATCTGGCAAGTGATCACTGTCCCAAGTAAGACCTGAGATGATCTGGGATAGGTCCAAGGCCACCGTGGTGGCCATAAACTCCTGGGCTGCTTTCAAGATCAAACCCAGGGATGGCAAGTTGAAGTCTTCCTGGATTATAAGCCTTGGGAACTCCACTGCCAACCTTGAGATGGCTTCCAGTAACTCAGGCAAGGAGTTGCCACATAGCAGGGAGGCTGCTACAGCAGCACCAATTGATACGGTGGGCGCAGCTTCAGAAACAGGATCTCACAAGCAGAA